TCTGCAGAGGAATACAAAGACCTTGGATGGCAGAGGAGCTTGGATAGAGGTAAGCAGGAAGATCATAGGGTCAGCAGACATAAATTACTACTGTTTGTATTGCCTCTGGCTGCTGTGGATTCGCAGCGTGAAATGTCAACAAACAGATCTTCACTTTCTCTTTTTCTCTCTTTACTACCAACTGTAGTGCCCCGGGGACAAAAGGAATTCTGTTAAACAATAAAAGAAGCCAATATTATTTACAACTGTGTAAATAGTTTCCAAGCACTGTTGAGACACGCCTCCCCCCCCCCCCATTTGAAATTCACTTGGATGCAAGTACTGACAGAGGGCATCCCAATTTAAGGCAGTCTTGATGGAAACCCTAAGAGAACCTAAAGCAACACAGCAACTGTAATCTGAAATCCTCCCTCCCCCACATCCACACCCCTGTCATCAGTCACTGTACGTTTACTCTGGTGGTGTTTGTGGCAACTGCTGTTTACATATGTAATCACTGGGAACTCTTCCACAGAAATTTGGAAAAATGAAATGCCTTATGTTCTTCCCTTAGAGAGAATTGTGTAGTTTAATTTACTCCTTTGGCAACTGTCATGGAGGCATTACTGCAAACACATTTTCAAAATCGAATATCCACTTTGAGGTTAAAACGTGTTAATGATTAAGCCAGCAGTTTGGATCCATGGCTTTGCCACATGCAGAACAGAGGACTTTAGGAGATTGGCTCTATTATGACATCGAAGTAGCTCCTTCAGGCTACAGGTCCTTTCTGTACCTGTCCTTCCCACTGAGGTCACCTGGCCACTCCCATTCTCCCTGAAGAAACCACGATCACTATGAGTCTCAGTTTCTCACCAACCTCCTTCCTATACTGGAACACTATACCCATTCTCAACGTGGACTACACTAAACCAGTTTTAAGGAATGGTCCAATGGACCAGTAGATATGGCTGCCTAGCTTCTGTCAAGTCTTGGTGAAATGCATGCAGAGATTTTGTACCTATTTTCTTTTTAAGAGCTGAGATGACACTCTGAAGAAATCCACCAGTGAGAAAAGCAACTCAGTAAGACTACCAGGCTTTGACAGAGAGCCTTCTACATAGTTTAAAGCTGTTGGCCTTTTTAGGGTAGTCTCTCGCTTAGCTACTGAGTTGTCCTCCATACCATCTCTCCACGTGGCTCTCCCTGCCTCTTCCTACTCTATCTCCCTTCTGCTTTCTTCCATGTCTCATCTCCTCAAATCTGCCTGTGATCTTGGCTGGAAGGCCTGCCCCAGCTCTAGGCCTTATACAAAAGCTCTCATTCTACTCTGAACCAATCAGCAGCACCACAACACCTGACCCATCTCTTAAGGTTGCCCTTTCACAGGTGAGGACTTGGACAAGAATTTATAAATAAACGACAGGTGACCGGCCATAGAAATGACAGCACCAAAATCCTGCCAGCACTTAACAACTGAAAATACAGGGACACATCTTCTCAATGTGAGGGAGGGTCATCCCAACACAGTAAGATAGATAGGTGAAAGAGGAGAACCCGAGCACAGGGATTCTCATCTAGAAACCAAGTTTGTATGAAAGCAGACTCAAGCATGCTAGTGAGTGGGAGATCATTTCATGTCCTGTGTTAGCACTGCCAGTCAAAGGAGTAAATTTCAAAATGCCACTTCTCTGGGGGGGGTGCAGTGTTAAAAAAAAAAAAGCCTTTCAGTATTACTTTTTTGGCAAAGAAGAGTCCCTCAGTGTTTTTGTACATGATGGAAACACCTGAGGCTCCTGCTCACGGGACTAACATCAGCAAGTGATGTGATTCACACTAGTGGATGTCTCATGTTGGACTCGGAGTTGAAGCATCAGAGTCCAACGCCCACCTCCTACGTTCAAGAAGCCCTCAATCTAGCTAATGAACACTGAGGGTATGGCAGGCTTACTTTAGCAAATACAAGGAAAACATGGCATTCTTGCCCTGTGGACTATCGTACGGACACAGTCACTGAACTCCTTGTTCAGTGTACAGATACTCCTCACAATTAATAAAATTTCCATAGCCCACACCACAGAAAGCTCGTTTTACATTCTACGGAGCTAGCCCAGAATCTCCTTAAAAAAGGGCCATGAGTACCAATAAGACAAGCAACAGGGCAACGGTCTCTATATGCTTTCAAAGTCCTAGAAAGTTGTCAATAGTAAGAGAGCTGAGGAAACACTGTATTCAGAATAACTAGGCATAAATACACACCAACCAGGGTTCAAACACTGAAAATACTTTTCTTACATGTCTGCACAGGGCTGGCAAGGCAGGGAGCAATTTGTAGAGAAAAAGACTCCAGGGTGAGATGTACAAGCAGGACCAGCGAGCACTGCACCCCATGTGTGGTTTCTGCAGGATCCACGGGCAGGACACTGACAGCCAGGCTTCTGAGTTAGTAGGGTCAGCTCCTAGAAAACGCTCCTGCTCGTAACTCATCACTCACATTCCAAGGGAAAGAACAGCAGAAAGTAGCCAAGGAGCAGCCCAGAATCTCCAGCTCCCGTTCCCAGTGATTTCTCAACAGGAAAAGTGGTACAGCACATGAGCAGGCAAGAAAGCAGCTTTGGGAGCCAGTGCTGCATTGACTGAACAGCACACACCAGTTTTGTAGGTGATAAAAATGGAAAGAGCAGAGTTAATGCAGCAATTTACAACTCTAGCTAAATAAAAACTCACATATACAGAATACAAAGGCCCATAAGTTTAAGACACGAACCAAGAAAATATCTTATGAAACAGAATTACAAAGTAAACCCTTAGGAAAAAAAAAAAAATCACAACTTAGATATATGTATTCAGTAACACTTAAGAAAAGTTATGCTTGCTTTAGACCACATTTTTGCGAATAATTTTATTCTTTCTCATACACACACACACACAAAAAGCCGTAGACACAAGTTGAAGGAGGTCACAGAAGTAAGGGGTTCATCAGCTGCCTGTACTTGACAATCACTAAAGGTTTTCCAAATGGACCAATAAAATTGTCAGGAAGTTACCATGTCACACACTTGTTTTACAATTGGGAAAATGGGCATAATTAATTTCTGTACATAAAGTGTGCATTAGTATCACGACAATACAAAACCTGAGGAGAAATTACAGACAATTTAACAGCAACTCAATTATTCATTTCATCATCCATAGTTAGTAGTCAGGACACATGAACAAAATTGATTCGAAGAACTTTTCTCAGCCAACTGAGTAAGTGGCTTCCATTGAGTGTAGGACCTAAGATTGTGAATTTAAAACTAATAACCTTTGATTACTTCACAGTCATTGAATTAAAAATGAATTAAGACATGATCATGAGGAAAACTCAAATAGCTTTGAGAAAGATTATTAAAGAACACTCATTGAGGGCTGAGTTGAAGCGCTCATGTAGTTGAGCATCAAACACTTCTGACCAAGGCCACACTAACAGAGGAAGCATACTGCTTGAACACAAAAATGAGAAAAATGAGTCTTAACAACTGTTTAAGTTTTGGGAAACCCTGGTCCATAACTGGCATGTGTAACCACATACAATAGTAGCTATAGTTGGGAGAGAGGGAATCCCTGTGTTCTAATTTTAGAAACTTCTCGGGCAGCATTTTACAATCACAAAACAAAAGGTGCCACGTTATTCCCACAAGTGTGTGAATGAGCTACTTACTTGAAAGTAATGTATAAAAAAAATTTTTAATGGTACTTAAATAAAACTGATTAAAACACCAGTGCCTTCTAGTTTAAAATGCATGAGGACCCAAAGCTGAGCAGAATTTTAGGAGACTCTCAAAAGGAACTAAACACGCTGACAGTCCTTCAAAGAGCAAGACTACATCTCTTAGGTGGCACTCTATTCCAGCTTACAGCTGCTCACTGAGGAAACAAATAAGTCAAATGGACTCATATATATCTAATGACTGATTTTGTATTACTGAAGCAAATTCAATTTCAAAAAGCTAAGTCAAAGCTATTGCTATGTTCCTATTTGGGGGGAAAAAAATCTCCTAAAAGTGAAGAACCACTTTAATGAATTTAATTATAAGTCTAAACATTATTTTATACATAAGCCCCAAATCAACAGCTAATAAGTTAGTGGAAAGAATGGAAAAAAGCTATTTCAGGATGGATAGTTTTAGTATACAACATTATGCAAGGCGTACATTCACACTGTCCCTCTTTTATAATATGCTTACCTTAAAAAAATTTACAGATTACCTTCTCTAGATGTATGTTTGAAAATAAAATTGACCATGAATTCTGATTTCAGAAATAGACATATTCAGACCTGTTAGTGTATAACCACATACATGTGTATGTGAATTCAGAAACTTCACTACCCTAAGGCAAAAACATGGGGTTATTTTTAAACTATCGCAAAAGCACCATTAATACAGAACTTTAATAAGTTTGTAGGAACTTATATGACAAGTCAATTAACCTAACGAAATTACAGATTAAAAAGTACCAGCTTCTTAAAGAGCTTTCATTATACAGCAGGCAAGTTAAAGATCAGAGAAGCATTATTAGTCATGCCAGACATATTATCACTCCCATTAGAATGATCAGTGGAGCGTTAAAAAGACAAGCATCAAGGGTTAAATACAACACGATTTTCAGTTTAGTTCGGTGAATACATAAGTTGAAACAAAATGATACAGAAACCAATTATACGACCAAGAACATCATGTCCAGTGCTTTGTGAACAGCTACAGGAATGAGGAATGCCACTTCCTTTCTAGGCATGGAGGGAGCCAGCAGAGAGAGGGACTAGCTAAGTGGCTGCACTGGGCAGGATCACATGGATGACACGTATCAGAAGTCACAACTGCCCCATGGAACCACTGAGCCCTGCATAAGCAAAGGGGGAGGAGGAGGCTGTTCCGTTTGACAACCCAGTGATTTTCGTCCCTGAATCAAGGCTTACTGGTTATGCAAATCCAAAATGACACAGGTCTTTCCCTGAACCCCTTCATTCTGTGACGTACCATCAACATCATCTGCAGTTTCGCTTTCTTCTTCTTCCTCTTCTAGCATTTCAAAAGGAGTCATTATATCATAGAGAAATGAGAGGAAACCATAAAACCAATCTGAACTCTCCTCCGCTAAAATATTAAGGACTTCCTCAAGAGAATCAATATTTTCATTACTGCCATCTTTGGTCAGGCCTACATAAGAATAAAGGAAGAGAGAAAGAGAAAACAAGAACAGCAGTTAGGTGGAAAAAAAATTTAAGCTTAGGCAGAGCGATCTCAAAAGGGAGGTGCATCGTGGTCACAGATTTACAGAACGGTAACATAGAGAATAAAGAAATCCATTAGGAAGCACACCTCCAAACCAAGTCTCAATCCACCCAACCAACCTCACGCTCCTCCCAGCTCAGAAGCAGGTGGTCAGGTGTATCACCAAACTCTGCAGATGTAACAGGAAAAGTGAACAGACTTGACACCCAAGAGCAGATAAATGCTGCTGGCAACCTCCAAGCTTGCACCCTGATGAACCAAAGCAGATCGTAGCCCTGGAGTCAACGGTGGGTGCTCAGGCCAGTGGGCTACAGTACGGCATGTCAGCTGGCATCCAGACACTCAAATACGTAATTCAGATAAAACACCTAAATCAGTTAGTGCTAAAACCTTCTCGCAACTGACTCGTGGCCCGGTAAGTCAAAATGAGCCGCTAATAATCCTCTCTGCCTACCTATCAGAACTCGGAGGAAGGCTCTAGGACCCAGCTGCAGAGGGGGCATCCCTGACTCCTCTTCCCCTTGGCCAGGAAAGGAGAAGTTCTCACTGAATAGACTCTTGATGTCTGCTGTGTTTTAAGCACGGCTGCCAAACAGAGCCCTCTGAGTAGAAGGAACAAAGATGTAAATTATCGTGGCTTTCTCCACCGGAGAAATGAAAATGAGCTCGGGTAGGGAAAGACCCTTGAGGTATCAAATCAGGGCTCTACACATCGCCAAAGTCTGCCATTTCAGGTCATTTACAACACACCGTTTCTCCACTGTAGCACAATGACCAGCAATACTGACACACGAGAGACAGCAGAATCCTGGCTAGTTGAAGTCATAAAAATTACAGTGAACTTCAGTCAATAGAAGGAGACCCCATCAGTTTCCATGCGTGAGGGGAAGGGAGAAACACGAACTTCAGTAGGTATTTAATTATTATGTGATGGCACGAAGTTTATCTCCAACATCTTTGTGACCCTGGACTGAGCCTGGGAGGCCTTGAGGTGCACAGTGATTTTGCACGGAATGTGGAGACAGGTCCGACGTGAGCCAGCACAGGGACTCTCCCTAAAGGACACCACCAATTAGGCTAGAGGAAGCTGACAAGCCCCGAGGCTCCGCCCCTGTCCACTCCTGATGACAAATGAGCTGCTGCAGCTGTAAGGCTCTAGCCTCAGCCCTCATGCCTGGGCAGCAGGAGTTTTACCAACCAACCCACCTCCAGAGCTGTAGCTCTTGGAACGGGAGTAGCAGTCTGAAGAGAAAACTATTCTGGCCAAGCAATTTCTCTAAACATGAGAGTGCGCCCCAAGAGAACGAACAGCACCAAGTGCTGGGTGAGTTCCTTGTTCCTCCATATGGAGTCATGGTTCTTTCCAGTCCGGACTTAGCGCAGATCCAGGACTGCTGAGTGCCTTCTGCAGCAGCACCTGATGGGGGCAGCTAGGTGCTAGCTGTGGAACGAAGGGACAGGCTTGCATCCTTGGGTGAGGCTGCCGTACGAAATAACTCTCTGCACGGAGCCCTGGGACCGTTTCCTACTGACAGTGTGTGAGAAGCAAACTCCTTTTCCTTTTTGTCGCGATTATGATACAATTACATTATTTTGTCTGCCCTGTCTTCCCTCCAAACCCTCCCACTGCTGCCCGCCCCCCTGCTGCCGTCCCGATTCGCTGCCTTCTTTTAATTATCGTTGCACACACACGTGTACTAGGTTTCATTCACACACTAGAACCAAAATCACGTGGGTTTTGAGCAATTTGGGCTAAAGAATAGGAAGTTATGTGTCCAAGGGGAAGGACTAGTACATTTTCAAAGCATATCAGGAGACTTAGAATGAGTAGAATCAGGAACAGCTATTTTTGATTTTCTCATGTGAACAGAAAGCAACATGTATGTAGATGTTCCGCGAATTAGACGATTAGAGTTAGACTTCAAATGCCAAGGGGGGGAAATGTATGAAAGAAACACCAAGTCTGTGGAAGTTTACGCTGTTGTGCCTCCTTGAAACCTCTGTCCTCCTCCCTCCCTTCCCTTGACTTCCTGCCTTACTGTAAAACTGTGCTGTTAAGGGTCAAGGTGCTATCCCAACAACGAGGAAAGCAGAGGTTGGTGTCTCGGTGGGACATGCTCTGTAACTTCTCGGCCATCGCACAGACCATCCCAACACTGTACCAGACACCTGCAAGTAACTGAGGCACGGCTAAGCTTTCACGACCTCGTGTGTGAGAAAAGAATTCGAGCCGTTCTAGTCAAAAAGAGCTAAAGTTGTGCCGGGCGCAGAGAACAACCACCAAGCGGGGCCTGGTGCTTCTTTATTAAAGCCATTAAAAAAGTGAGACCTGAGACCTGCCCATAGAACAGCTTTCTTGGGAGCTCTGCCGCCTGGGACCCGCCTCCTGGCACCCGGGTCTGACGGAAGGAACAGACAGCTGCTCACACCACTTGTGTTCACCACAAACAGCAATTCTCAGTGTTACCGTTCACTAACATCGTAAACTGATTAAACGCCTTAGATGACCTTGTTGTGTAAACCTGCCCAAGACATACCTGACTGGTTGATTAAACAGCCTGCACCTGGGCAGGGCAGAGTGAGGTAGGCGTGGCTACGGTTCCTGGGCTTTGGAGGACAGGAGAATCATGGGAGACAGATGGACAGGAAGAGAGGAGGCAAGAGGAGGCCACGATGGGTTAGCATAAAGAAGGAACCACATGGGCTGGGAGGAAGGACTCCAAGGATGGCGTGGATGGAAAAAAAAAACACCAAGATGAAAAACATAAACAACTATATTGGGATTATGGATGGCAGGTAGACCGGATGAGGATGATTGAGGTGGATGTCATTGGATGGGGGCGGGGAGATCAATGGTGAGGTTATGGAGATAGCACAGGCAGAAATATCTGCCCGGCCCAAGAAAAATCAGGCAGTTATAAAATCTAACAGGTGTCTATGTCTTATTATTTGTGACAGTGGGTTAAATGCCGCAATAATTATAGGGCTAATAACAATAAACATTATTTAGTCCAACGTTTTTTATTTACTACAACAGTGAATGTGTAAAATCCCATGGGAAGCTACACAGTCTCCATTCCAAATGGCTTTTCTAACTGTACATAACTTCGCCGAGGCTGTATAGACTTTGGTTAATCTCTGTGTGTGAATGTGTGTGCACGTGTATGTGTATATACAATTTCTTTACTATAGTTAAAAAATCCAAAACACACTAAAGTTATTAATATTAAAAAAAAAAAAGATAGGACAGCTCCTATGACATTGCCTTCAAAAGCTTAATATTCAGAATTTATTTAAAGTAGCATCTTGGAACAATAAAATCAGTTATAGCAAAAAAATGCCATCGTCCTAACATGTTTATTTCTTTCATATGCCTAAAACTATGGTCATTTGCAGATTTAATATATGTGCTGAAACTCTGAGCTAGATGTAAAATGATGAAATTACAGTAAGAAAACCACTAAGATTGAATCAACACGTAACGTGAAAATCTTACAGTGGACTTCCAACTGTAAAGAGCAAGCACTCACTCCCACTGTACGTGAAGAAGAAAACACACATCAAGGCAGGGCTAAGTCAGAAGCTGTGCTGCAGATCACCGTAACTAAACCTGTCTCATATTTAGAATTTGTTTTAAAAGGAAGTGAGATCTAACTATGGAAAGCTGCTTAACTACTACAGTACCTTTCTGTTTCTTTGTGATCATAAAAACACAAGTGCATTTAGCAGGATATTAAAATCAGTGCACATGGAGCTGGAGAGATGGCTCGGTGGTTAAGAGCACTATCTGTTCTTCCAAAGGTCCTGAGTTCAATTCCAAGCAACAACATGGTGGCTCATAATCATCTATACTGGGAAGATCTGATGCCCTCTTCTGGCATGCAGGTGTACATGTAGATAGAACACCCATATACATGAAATAAACAAATAAATCTTTTAAAAAATTAGTGCACATACAATACCAGGTATAGCTACTACTTTGCTAGATAACTTGATACAAAGCTGTAATATATATTGTTTCATATTAAGGAAAGGGAATGAGCTACTTAAAACCAGAAATAATGAGCACATTAAGCAAAATCTGCATGTTCAAATCAGCACTACCCTTTCTATTAAGACAATATTTTACAACAATGAGGAGATGCCAATCTTTATTTATATCAAGAACCACCTAGCTGGTAACATAATTACAAAGACAGAGAGGAATCCACGACTGTGAAAACAGAAAGGTGTGATTAAAGAGCACTAATTAAATACAAATAGGACATTAAAGCTACTGTCATGCTTTTATTCCAAAACTAACTAATACAAACATTGAGAAATGAGCATTTGCACCCACAGTCATGCCACGCTGGACACGCTGCCCGGATCTGGCCTCATTATGAATGCTAAGCACGGCTGCCGGACCGTAATCAGCATTTGAGGGAGAGAAGTTTGCATTTCAAAGCCAGAATAAATTATGTCAAATGGTGATTTAAAAAAATGTGTTTCTCGTTAGGAAACACATGAGGACATTATCTAGGTCTCTGAACATCAAGTTCAGACTATAAAATGCTTAAATCTGAAAGCACAAGTGAAGCTGTAGTTATTAAAAACCGAGGTGTAAAAGCTACATGCTCTTATAAAAGTGATTTGAAAAGTCACAATGGAAAAGTGCTCATTTAACAGGTCAACAAAAATGAAACATTAAGTTTTAAAATATCTTCAAAAAATGTTTACAGGTGCTGTAGATAATTATAAAACTGCAAACATTCCTTTGGCATTAATATGTGACTCCTAACAAAAAGGGAGAAAGAGGTGTACTTGCCTAATAGAACTTTGGCATCATCCACGTCAAAGTCTCCATCTCCATCCGCATCATAGACTCCTAGTTTCCCTACAAGGAGAGAAACGATAGACACGGGAACAGAGAGAAAACAGATTTAATTACGAACTGTCTCTCGCTGCAGTTTTAGACATCATAAATGTTACTGACCCCTCTCCTTTACTCCTGCAAGGCAGAACTGGAAGAATAAATTATCAAAGCTCCCTGGCAGTCACCTACACATTCATAAAGACTGGATCTCTAACGGATTCTAAGAGGCACGTGAGACGTTTTCCCTAAACATTCAGGAATATTCTGATCCTAACAAGTACATAAAATCTAATAATTCTAAACCATAAAACTTCACTAAACTACCAAAAATGAATGCAACCCAAGCTTCAAATAAAGATCAAACATAAATAAATCAACAGAGAGCATAAGTTCTTTACACAGTGAAGTATAAACAGTTTGGCTTATAACAATAAATTACAGCAACAACAAAAAATCGCGCAGCTACTTGGATGGGTGGATGCTGTTCGGAAAGTGAAGTATGTAGAACTGAAGGCTTCCTGGAAAGACAAGGGAAAAATTTATGGCCACCCACTTGAAAGCATCCTTGGCACCAGACATCCATTACTTAAGAGAAATAAGGGAAGGCAGAAAGAGGAACAGTGAGAAGCCAGGTTCACTCAGCCTTATTCAACAATGGCTGTGGACTCCAAGCGCTTTCAGGGTGCTTTCTATATCCTATATCGCTTCACGCGAGCCTAATATAGGCCATCCCCTAAAAAATACTCAAAAATCAACATGGTTTATAATTCATCATTGGAAAAGAAATATGGAAAAAAATTACACTGCACAGTACTATTTTAAACAGCAAAAAATATAGCAAAAATCTTATGAAAAATGGTTGGCAATAACTACCGTTTCTAGTTCTTTAATTCAAAGTACATTAAAAGATTGCCTAAGGACAGACAGGAATTTTGGTGCAGAATAAAATTCCCAGATCCCTGGCTCTAGTTTTGTTACACAAAAGTCTAACTTAGTACACACAAGAAAACCAGTAAGAATGGGGGGATGAAGACAGTATCCTTACCACTAAGAAAATCAAAGTAATAACCTAGAAGTCAAGGCTATCAGTAGCATAGCGCTTTAACACCATTTTAAAGACAGCAAGTCACACCGTTCCTCAGAACCTTTCAAGAGTAAACTAGTCCTACCACGTCCATTCTTGACGTAGATGACTAAGTTAGGAGAAAAAGGATGAGGTCTTATAGACAGATGCGCAAACACTTAAGATGCATCTCCAGTATCCTACCTTGAAGTACCTCTGATAAGTTATAACGGAAGTCCTTTGCTTTGGCTGCATGCATACAAAAACACGAAAATTGTTATATATCATTGAAGGTACACAAATTGCCTAGCAACACTATATGTTAATGAAATCATATTTTTGTTTATGCCAAACTAAACATTTTTTAAGCTATTCATCTATTATGAGACATTTTCCTTAAGGTATTACGAGAGAAAAACATCAGTGAGTGACAGATCATATGTAAGCACATTGCCTTATTCTTTGTTCTCCTGTCCCTCATAAAAAAAGATGGCAATGATCTATGACTGGCATGAGAGTTTACTCAAAGGGGGTTGGTCTTCAGCACATTAGTAATTCTGTGTTTTTCTTACTGACTGGTCCATGTCCTGAACTGGACTATTAAAGAGGAAGGCCAGACTTTATAACTGCCCAAAATGAAAACCAAATGATTATCATCACTGACCATGGGATAAGAAGAATGTGGTGTGTCTAGATGATGGAGTTTTACTCTCAACCTTAGGCATATAATGATGCTAAGAGTAAGCAGACAACTCAACAGTCCACACACATGTACATGCTATGCAAGGAACACCCAAAACAATCACAGAAGGTCAGAATGTTGAGGGAGGAGTGACTGTCTGGGGAAGGATGGATAATAGAAACGTTCTAAAATTAGCTGAGGATGCCTATACAGAATTGTGAATATAATAAAAAACCAGTGAGTTGCAGATATTCAAATGTTTCCAATATTTAACTGACGGGATTCTTTCCATTTTTTTTAAAGTTAATATAAAACAAATCATTTTTTTAAAAAACATTAGTGTGACTGGAGAGATGGCTCAGCATCTGAAAGTGCCTCCTGCTCTTCCAGAAAACTGAAGTTTCAGTCCCCAGAACCCGTATCGGACGGTTCATAAGCATCCAAAACCCCAGCTCCTAGGGGCCCATTGCCCTCTTCTGATCTCTGTGTAGACCTACACACACGCATACACTCACATCAGTACATGGATAAAAAATTTTTAATTTTAGTGATCATGTGAAGGGAAGGAAAATGAAGAAGAACGTGAGATACTACCAGAAGTAACCTCAGGAAGTCCTCGTGGAGATACACAACCCCCACCCCAACCGGTGTTCAGCGGCAGTCACCCCAACCCTCTAAAGAAAGGTTCTGCGAGTCAGCCCTGGCAGCTCACCTCTGTAACCCTCACACTGGAAGCCAGGCAGGAGGACCGTCATAGGCTCCAGCCTATGCTACAGGATGAGGTGCCTACCAGAGGAAGCAGTTCATAATCTCGAAATTCCAAAAATCAGAACAGAACTGAACATAAAGTACAGAAAACGCTGCAAATGAATTTAACAAAATTCGTTTCGGTGGAAGCTTCCCCTATACTGCAATACGTGAAGCCGACGTAGAGATCTTCAAGATTCAGGTCACTACTCCAAGGTAGCCCGAGGAACACACCCTTTGCGTTCACTTTCTCCAGAACCAGTGGAAAGCAGGGCCAGTAATGATACCAGAGAGGTACTAACAAGCCTTGGGGATTCCCTCATACAAATTCACTAGAGAGATCGTACCCTAATTCTTACCTAGAACTTCCTCATAATCAACAAGGTCAAACCACACGACGGCCACAGACGTCCAGACACCCAGCAATGCGATGACCATGAACCACGTGAAAAAGGAGCCTCCTGAAATTCCTCCTCTCTTCCCATTCTTGTGTCCTCCATGCTTTGCCTCTGTTTGGAGAAAGAAAAAGATGAAGTGTCGTCACCGAAAAAGAAAACGCTTGGCTGGATGCCACTTTTCCCACTCACTTGTTTGGACAGTGATTTGATAGATCATTTCAGAAACACATTTTACATAAATACGGAATAATGACTTTGAACACAAATGACTTTTGCTTAGACTCGATTACCACGTCTAAATAACCTTAACTTTGAACAGAAGTTTACTCCTGATGGGCATTTTTTTAATATGATGGCAGAACATATACATTCCTCCCCCATCCTCTGTCAAAGCAGTCTGCATGGAAACACTTTTGTGTCCAAATGGTCACATGTGTCCTGCTCATGTGCTGATTAGCAGACACTAGTCTGTCATAAGCATTCCCGAAACTTCTTCTTCTTGCCTTCCTGTACCAAGAAAAATACTGGCCCCAGTTTGATATTTCTCACTGTTATCTTGCATTGTCCAAAAATTTAACTTTCCCACTAGCCAAAGCTATTCAGCTTTCATTTTGATACGATACCCCAAGTCCTAAGCAAGAGTCATGGACACTGGAACAGACTTTCTGTTTTGCCTCCATTTCCGTGGCTTTCTTTCCTGTTTGACTCCCTTAACAGTTACACTGATCTTTACAAAGCCTTCTGGCTCAGCCAGCTCCTTCACTGGTGGCTCCCTTTTCTTGGTGCTGGCAAACACACACACAATCAAAAACCCAGCCTATCACCTTCAGAGTCTAGCGCATGGCAGCTTACTAAATGAAATCAGAGATGTAAATGGATCTTTTCCCATATCCTATTTATGCTGTTCCCAACTCTAAATCACGTTACCTGCCACAGAAGAAAATGATTCCCTCTAAAATCACTCAATATTGAGGGAAGGCGAGTGAGGGGGGGAAGGCACAGAAACATAAATCACAGACAAAAAGAAGCAATGCAGCACAATTCCACTTTCCTCCTTCAGGAGATCCAGCAGGGCGTGGGGAGGCAGGAAACAGCCCTTGCCAATTGGCCCCAATGCAGGAAACAGCTCTGTAAACTGCTGTTCACCAAATGTCATTTATCACATTTGCTATGCTTTGTGTACCTTATATTCTTCTAGAAATAATGTCCTCATTGTCAAAATAAACAGAATTCATGAAAGTCAGTCATAGATATAAAAAGTCAATACCCGTTTGAAAGTTAGCACCATATATGAATTTCTCTTTAAAATCAATGTTATATTCCACATGTATAAACAAATATATTTGAAGGATTATATCACATCTCCAAAGGCCATCTGAGAAGAGGAAACCTTTCTCCATCCTCCCAACATAGCAGGACACTGCTGGTATGTGTGGCATGGTGGGCTCTTCCCACGGCGCTGTCACAAGCACTACTACATGTGGTCTCAGGGCAACTTGCCCGTGTTGCTGCTGAAGGTGTTTCTACAAGCTTAAGCAGGACACTGTTCGTTCTGTGTGACTGTTCCTAGTACGGCAAGACATCTAATATGCTGCCAGCCCCAAAGCAGGTAGGTTCCAGCATAATCTCCCAAATATCTCCAAGTATGCCTCACATGGGCATTGCCTTCTTGAGAACCACTGACTCCTCAGGGACAGGAATCATCATCTGTCCGAGGGGGAAGATGAAGGCATTCAAGCACTGCACATTGTTCAGAACTCAGAAAATGACCTCTTCGGTCCTAAACTGGGCGTCTGAGAGTCTGCATGACTCTCTCCACCAGCTCTTGCCCAGAGCCTGCCTTCTGCCTCCATACACACTTCTGAAAGGACACTATATGTCCAATGGCACTGCTTAGCAAGAAAAGAAAATTGAACTTCTACTAGTTAAAAGGAGTTTCTGTTCTTCTATTTATTTTACGTGCATGAGTGTTTTGTCTACATGCGCACCTGTGTATCATGTGAGTGTTTGGTGCCTATGAAAGTCAGAAGCGGCATCAGGAACTGGAGCTATGGCTGGTTGGGAGCCACTACGTGAGTGCTGAAACCAAATCCACGTCCTCTGAAAGCGCAACCTATGCTCTTAACCACTGAGCCAACTCTCCAATCCCGTGAATATTCAAGACCCACTACTAGACCAAATTTTCAAGACAGCAGAAAGCTAACTCAATCTTTGTGTGTGCAAACATTCTTACACTCATGTAAACTTAAATATATAATTCCTAAAATTAAGCACATAAAGTCATGGTTAACAAAGACATTTTATTGTCGAGGAGCATAGTTTCCACTACTTTTAAGCAATCACATGAATTATAAAATAATACAAAATAAGCTATCACTGGAATTTTTCCAAATAAGGAAAAGATGGCTAAGTTCTTTGGGGCAGGAGGACAGCACAAACTCAGTAGCAGTGTTTAGTGTTGAGTTCACTACACTTTTATAAACATGAGGGCATCCTCCCTAAGCTATGTGAAAAAAGCCCTTCTTACTTTTATATAGTATATGGATAAACACATGCTTGGGAGATGGCTCAGTGGTCAAGGAGTGTGTACTGCTCTTGTATTCAGTTTCCAGTACCCAAATCAGTGGCTTACAACTGCCTGTAACCCCAGCTCCAGAGGAATCCAATGTCGCTGGCCTCTAAACTCATGTGCACATACCCATAATTCCAAAACAAAAATAAGTCTTTTTTAAAAAGTGAAATATATCTCAAACTGAAACCTTCACTTAAAATCAACAATAAAACTACAGTGATCTGAGTTCTTGTCTCTTATCTGCTCTTGGACACTGTCACAGACATTATCTTTTCCTAGTGCTCCTCATTAACTAAAATAGCATATTGTTAAAAATACTTTATCCCTTTACAATGTCAAGCAGTGTGTTACTCTCGCATCATTAACCTTATTACTATTAATATTTGTTAGCTCCATAAAGGATCAAAGCATTAAGTCATAGAAGCTTTCTATCGGCACTTCAAACTCTTCGAGCATGCTCCTGAGAAAAGCTAAGTGTGAGCTAAGGGGCTAAAAGCCTGTTAGGAGCCCCTTTCTGGAGCATGCAGTCTGTGCTCAGTCTGTAAATGTGTGTTCCCAGTCCCAGGAGCAGATCAGTTTTACCGACTCAAGCGAAGGAAGTGTGGTAAAGCAAACTCCTCCCGAGGGTTTCAAACTCCACAAACTCAAAACCAGGGTACTGTCACAAAAATGTTCTCGAAAGACAATCCAGCAGTTGATGCTATTTTCTTAGATCAAAATACAGCTAAGTTGGCTTTCATCCTGTTTTCTGGCTCCATATACAAAGTGCAGTCACAGGGACTGGTCACAAAGAAGGTTTCTTAGAGATAAGAATATGGCAGTTCGTACTCTGAAATGGAAATGAAGTGATATTCATTTTCTTCCATGCTGCCTCATCAAAATGACATATGTCCACATTAGAAAATATTCCCACATGGTACTAAACAGAGCATTATGATAGCGAGCAAAAGTCCCATCAGTCAGAAGAAAACACTCCAAAATGAAGCCTGGGCTAGGGACAAATGGCCACTGTATCCCAGTTGAGGAATGGGCAAACAGAAAGGTCAAGCAACTCACTTGTCATTAAAAACTACAAACCATTCATGGCCAAGTGTTGTGGGCACTGTGCAGGGCATTTCACACCAAGAGTAAGCAGAGCATTTAAAAACCTAAAGCAACCATTCCCCATCTGGAGTTCAATAGTTTCAATATACCTAGCCGATGCCTACAAAATCAACTAACAAAACAACAATCTTTGCTTATAAACATACAAAAAAAAAAGACATATATACCAAAAAAAAGTAAATTCAACAAATTAAGGAAACGAAAGCATCATTTTAAGAAACAAAATTCCAGTGCCTTGTATTTTGTTTTTCATTTACCCTCCGCTTCACATGAAGTAGGTCAATTTCCATATAAGGTAAGCCTGCTCGAACCAAGCATGCTCACTAATACCAGAGCAGACTTACATAGCCCTTGAGTTTCCCGTCCTTTTATATGAAACCTGTATAGGCAGTCCTCTAGGTTCATTGTAAATATCCAACTATAGAAGTTTATAAAATGTGGTTTGTGTTAGTAGAATATATTAAAAGACATTCTAAGTTAGGACACCAAAACCTATTCAGATTAAAAACCAGTCTATGAAAATCCCTGGCCACTGTGAAAAGTCAGCCTCTCCAGAAATTCAGGACAGAAAATGCAGAAGGCAAAAAGCACTTAAGACAAAAACGACCGAACGGAGCACAGCTGGAAATAAGGCAAGACGTTGTCAGCTAGGCACAAGCCCCTTTTATTCCAAACACAAATATACCTTTATCTTCAGCCATTTTGATTTCTTCAATCCATGCATAAAATACACTGAAGGGAAAAAAAAAAAAACTAAGGTGTCCCCAGGAGGTATGGGGCACCCAGCATGCTCTTCCCTGCTAGAACCGTGAACTACCAATCCTGCCTGGCCAAGGGCTCCAGAGTTGAAACTGGACCTGACTGCAGACTGCTCACCAGCTATTTTTAGAGACTGCTTCCTCATGGCCACATGCTGCTAATTGCTGGGGTGAACAGCACTCCTGGCAACCCTGTAGCCCTTCCCACTCAGGATGGATCTGCTGCTCCGTGGGACCCTCTCTCTTCCTAGTCCAAGCTCTGAATGATGAAGCAGCTTGACAAAGCTCCAGGAAACAAGCTGTACCACCACAGACTTCAAGAGCCCACAGGTGGCCCCAAGCCCAGAGCCAGCTTCATTTGGTCCTTCAAAATTTTCACCAGAAATCTGTGAGACTATTTAGCCAGTGTGCTTAAACGAAGTCATGACAAATACAAGAAATTAGTGAATTCTCTAGAATCCTGATTCACAGCATTGTCATCCCAGCAATGGTCCTTCAGAACAGCAAAATTAAAGCCAGGGCACAAAACCATTTCACTAGAAGCCAAGAGAGGGCTGGGGGACATTGAAGGAAATAAACAGAGGGGAAGGGATGACAGGAAGGATATGATGGAGGGATGGAAAGAGCACCTCAAAAAGGGTACTGGAGAGAGATTATGCAATCCCACATCCAAAGGT